AGGCCTAAGGAGATCAACACCCTATATCAAGGTGTGCATAATTATAAGGCAGCTTCTTTTCTTCAGGCAAAATGGGCCAAAAAAGAGATTTAACTGACTCTGAAAAGTCAAAAATTGTAAAAAGTCTTTCAGTATATCAAGGTGTGCATAATTATAAGGCAGCTTCTTTTCTTCAGGCAAAATGGGCCAAAAAAGAGATTTAACTGACTCTGAAAAGTCAAAAATTGTAAAAAGTCTTTCAGACGGATGCAGCACTCTTGAAATTGCTAAGATATTGGGGCGTGACCACAGAACCATCAAATGTTTTGTTGCAAATAGTCAACAGGGTTGCAAGAAATGTGTTGAGAAAAAAAGATGCAAATTAACTGCCAAAGATTTGAGAAGAATCAAATGTGAAGCTTCCAGGAACCCATTATCCTCCAGTGCTGTCATATTCCAGAATTGCAACCTACCTGGAGTGCCCAGAAGTACAAGGTGTTCAGTGCTCAGAGACATGGCTGAGGTAAGGAAGGCTGAAACTTGACCACCGCTGAACAAGACACCGCTGAAACGACAAGACTGGGCCAAAAAATATCTGAAGACAGATTTTTCAAAAGTTTTATGGACTGATGAGATGAGTGACTCTTGACAGACCAGATGGATGGGCCCGTGGCTGGATCAGTAACGGGCACAGAACTCCACTTCGACTCAGATCCCAGCAAGGTGGAGGTGGGGTACTGGTATGGGCTGGTTGGACCTTTTTGGGTTGAAGATGGACTCAGAATCAACTCCCAAACCTACTGCCAGTTTTTAGAAGTACACTTCAAGCAGTGGTACAGGAAAAAGTCTGCATCTTTCAAGAAGACCATGATGTTTATGCAGGACAATGCTCCATCACATGCACTGAAGTACTCCACTGCGTGGCTAGCCAGTAAAGGCCTGAAAGATGAAAGAATAATGACATGGCCCCCTTCCTCACCTGACCTAAAACCTATTGAGAACTGTGTGCCCTTCTCAAATAGGAGATTTATG